CCACCGATTTCCTCCCCCCTCGCGATTTGTCGGGATTCCGCGATTTCGGGAAGGGTTGAAACGGGGTCACGGTTCTGAATAGCTTGGAATATCGAGCGACCTCGATGATGCTCTCGGATTCGAGGAAAATAGCTGTTCGAGAGGGCAACGAATTTGTAACGAGGGATAAATAACCTCGTGGAGAGTTGCTTTTACGAATCGGTTGTTACGTCTCTGACAAATTACTTAAGGAAGATCGATAATCGGTCGATAAACCGGCAACTCGAGCAGCCACGTTTCGTACTCTTTGGGGATAAGTACGGGTTGGATGGAATTTAACGGAAGATGCACGATGGTTGATCGCGATAGATCTACTTTCACCGGCGCGTTGTTTACTCGATGGCTAATTGTCGTCGGTAGAGGTGGAGGGTCCGAGTCGATTATTACAGTCGGCTGGTTTAACACCGGTTTATTAGTCGATGGTTATCGGCCAAGTAATACACCCGTTGCATTGTCACCGGCCTGCAAACTGTTTACCACCCTCCGGTGTACAATTAATCGTGAGTCACAATGGCTCGTTACAGGTTGATTAACTGTGGTCGATTGATAAGAATCAATCCATTTCACGGGATGATGTATCCCGTAGTTCGTTCGATTAAATTCGTTCGCTCTTTCTTTTTTCCCTTTATTTGGCTTTTATTTCGCTGCAAGCTTGTTATGTAGCGTTTCGTTTATGTAAAACGATGTAAATGTTTTCCGTGCAAGTTTAGGATATTATTAAGGAATTATTAATCGTGAAGACAACTGATGTGGAAATTGATGTGCTGGAACGATTGAGACTTGCTCGAACAGGTTCCAATTCTTGAGAATTCTTTGGATATGTAAGGAATAAGGATAGGAATTTTCTCGGTTCCAGCTAGCATAGATATCATCTTAACGTAAATTTAAGCGAGATGGAACGAGGAAAATTTGTTCCTTCTACGGTTGCTGCTATTTTCACGCTATCGATAACTTCGCACGGATCTTGCATACAACGAAATCTAATCAAAGTTTCTTCAAGGCCGCGTTAAAATTATTTATATCGATGCACGAAAATATCAAACGCTATCTTCACGGGATCACGGAAGCGTTATCATCCTCCAAAAATAAAACTTTCGGCACGATCCATCTACTTCAAATTAAACAAACCGAGAAACATTTACACCGAGAATTACAAAAAGTTGGCAAACCAACTTCTCTGATCGACGCCGATGACTTTCACTATTCTTCTCGTTATCGCTCTATTCTCTCTAAAATAGTGGAGGACGGTCAGGATTTTCGACGCGCTCGAGCGTTTATCTCTCTCTTTCTCTCTCGTTTAAACACCGTTCTTTCGAACGTTCTTGGGAAATTTTCTGGCAGCCGAAATGGGTCAGTGTGTCTACCGTTGATGTCGAGGTCGATCCGCTCGTTGCAGACCGTCTATCCGCAGTGAGTTGAAATCGCGTCGCATATAGCCGCCACGGGCATACGTGGAATAATCGATGTCGGTGTGTGTGTGTGTGTGTGTGTGTGTATACACCACCCGTGTTTTACCACCCGTCGTCTCGTGTCACTTGCCTCGACAGGAAGACTCGGTTTTATCGCTCGATTGCCACGTGATCTCGAGATCGTGGCGGAGAAGATCCAAAGGCCTTCCTTTCGATCTGCCGATCGTGTGGATCGTTTCTGCGCTTTTCAGCACTGTTTTAGCTTGAAAAAGGCAGATCCCTCGACGATTAAATATAATTAAAATCGATGATGGAAAGATAGTAAAGAAGTTTAATCCCAAGATACGATCGGCATATAAGGACGCGAGTCGTATTGCGGATCGAAAGAAGGTTGAATACGAAGTTGAAGTGGATAGCGCGCGTGGAAGAGGGTTAAATTGGCCCGTTTCAATTTCGAAACGTGACGGTTTCGGGATCGAAATCGGCCGGATTATATTATCATCCATCGATCGGATCGAAGAAGGGTACGCTTGGCCGAGCCGCTCCAGCAACCCACATTTATCTCGTGCCAAGCCTGCGCCTTCGTATTTTGCGGGGTTCGCCTATGACGATATCGTCGCGGATACCCACCAGTGTTGGAGCGCAAATTTTCCTACTTTTTCGCTTCCTGCTCGGTGCCCGCGATCGATCGCCTTGTTTTTCCACAGAGGCAACGAAACGGGACGCGACGTCGCAACGTTGTTGCCGCGCTCGGTCGAGGAGCGGAGTAGATTCTAAAAAAAAGTTTTGGCAAAGATTACGAGGATCGGAGAGATAGAGAGAGAGATAGAGAGAGAGAGAAGAGGAAGAAGAAGAAGAAGAGGAGGAGGAGGAGGAGAAGGAGGAGAGGATTTCCGTTCAATTAGAGCGCAGCGTCAATACTCGAAGAACGCGTCATCGAGGGCGGGCGAAAAGAGTGGCGGCGTTGAGACGTCATGGTTCGATCTCAGGGGCGTGACGAGGGCTCGGTGCGCCACGAATCTCGTTCCTAGAATTTCGACGGTATCCGGTTCGCACCGGTTCCCGCTGGCTCGCTTCCGATCCTCTTGGACGCGGTGTGTCCAACGCGTGGCCGTCCCTTTTCGACTCGCTCTCTGCCTCTATCCCACAGGGTTGAAAAAGAGGGGACGACGTGGCGTCGTTGCGTAAGCGTCTGGACGCCGAGCCACCGTTGCGTCAGTCGTTCGAAAGCTACTAAGCATCGCGGTCCACACACGAAAAGATCCCCCGACGCACGGAGAGAGAGAATACCGGCTCAACGCACCAGTGAGTTTCTCAACCGTGGGGGGATAAATACCTCTCTCTCTCTCTCTCTCTCTCTCTCTCTCTCTCGTAGTAGTAGT